GGTAGGTGTCTGAGTGCTGGAGCTTGGTGGTAGGTGTCTGAGTGCTGAAGCTTGGTGGTAGGTGTCTTGAGTGCTGAAGCTTGGTGGTCGGTGTCTGAGTACTGCTAATGCCATCGATACTGTTTGGTTCCCTTGATATAATTTGTAATCCAAGACTGATTGAGAAGTGGTTTTGCTTATAGAATTTGTCCCCATGCCTGTCTTCCTTTCTTTTTCATTGATGTGATAAAATACTCAGATAAAAGCAAATTGAAGGAACAAAAGTTTATTTATCTCACAATTCCAAGTTACAGTTCATCACTTGAAGCAAATCAAGGCAGCAGGGGTGTGAAGCAGCGGTCACGTTCCCTCCACAGTCAAGAGCAGAGAGCAGTGATGGAGGCATTCGAACCAGTGTTCTCTCTCCATCTTCTTATAGTCCTGTGTCTCAGGCAGGGAGTGCCCCCACCCACAGTGGCTGAGTCTTCCTGACCCCAGTTCCACAGTCACGATCACCCCACAGGCATGCTCAGAGGCCTGTCTCGTAAGCAACTCTAAATGTCAAGTTGACAGCTAACACTAGGATGATGCTGGTCTTCATTTGAAGGAAAATTCCTTCACTCAACTGTGTAGCCTGAAGGCTTCTTACTTGGCACGCCAAATTAAAGGCTGAAGTAGAGGAACAGTGGATAGCATGCTTCTCATTTCTTACCCACAAAACAAAACACATGATTTGCAAGATTGGATATGGTTTTCAATAGGCTTAAAGCATCTATTACTTGGCTGGTAGAGACTTTTGAAAGCAGGATCATAAAGATACCTTTCTTGGGGCTGGAGAGATGGTTCAGCAATTAAGAGCACTGGCTGCTCTTCCAGAGGACCTGGTTTCTATTCTTAGCACTTACATGGTGGCTAGCAACCGTCTGTAGCTCTAGGGATCTGTCACCTTCTGGCCTTTACTGGTACCAGCCAGAGACATACACACCATACACATGAAAAAGGTCTAATTGTGTACCACACAAATCCACATGAATTTATTGGTTGATCTTTCCCAGGTGAAGCTGGAGCTTTATCAGTGTGATTATCCTCTGGGCATAGTCACCGGGCATAGTGATGCCCAGATGAGTTTCATCCCCTTCTCTCTTTGCCACCTCAGTGTCCCCTAAGGCCGAGAGAACAGGCATTGTGCTGTCACCCTGCAATTGCCCAGCCTGGGGAGGTGTTTCTTCCCAAGCCTTGGTTCTTCTAGGCCCTGGGTGCATCTCTGTTTCATATGCACCAAAACACCAAACCTGTTGCTCAGCAAGAAAGAGAGTTAGTTCTAATTCTGGTAGCCTTTCAGCTGCTTACAAACCACTTCAGTCACCAGTACTTATTCCTGAAGCCTTATTTTATCAGAGTGTTTCCCCTTCAGAATCTCTAGGAATTCTTAAAGAAGAGTAGAATCAAGGTAGAGTCCACTGAACTCTGTCACTGGTTGTTATATAACTGTGGGTGAATCACAGCTTAAGCAGGACAGAACATCTCCAGTTACTGGAAGTTGCCAAGAATGGCAGAAGCCAGGCTGGCCCTGGTGTTCACATAATCTTTGCTCCCCAGTGTGGAAAAAAACACTGGGGTGGAGATGGAAAGTGCCAGCTGAGCAACGTGTGTCAGTGGTGAAGCACTCTTTAGAGTCTGCAGCTGGCTCTCCGGGATCTCCGGGGACAGAGTAGGCAGCAGTTCAGGACTTGCTTTGGGGTTGCTTGTCCACCTTTATGAGAGTCTCCTCACAGCATGTGGCTGATGTGAGTAGAATTTCTGCAGGATGGGGAGGAGGAGGAGGAGGAGGCAAGGCCGCCTTATCAGTGTGGCTCCCTGCACTCGCCAGGACCTGTATCTGTTAATCTGTTCCTGCAGGCAGCACCTCTCAGCTGCTTACACTTGATAGCTTGTTTTGCACCCGGATTTATTCCTGCCAACAACAGGTGAAAAATTGCTTCAGTGACTACTTCATTTGGTCTTGTTTAGGGCACTTTATAGCGTTTATAACTTTATCTGAATGCTGAACTATTCTTTATGTGTAGGGTATGAGTGTCTTCCCATACCCTAGATCTGTAAGCCCGTAGCATCAGAGAGCTGGTTGCCACCTGTCAGAAAGATGTATGACATAGATAAAGTACTCCATTGAGTTAACATGTTTTAATGAGGTAAGGCTGGAAAGACACCTAAAACCCCAAGAGGGAAGGATGCTTTCAGTGTAGAGTCAGCTGCTGGGAGCTGGGCGTTCCCAGCTACTAGTCATTCTTTTCGAGATCTCTAACTCATTCCGTTTTGTCCTCTCCTTAATAAGCATAAACTGCCTACTTGTTGGGTAGAAACACACCATTAGAATGGAACGTTGTCATTTTACATCATACAATTAACACGCTATCTAGCCATCAGAAAATTTACGTCAATGAGGTTGTCTGTAATTATCTGAAGAGTGTTCCTGTATGTGTCAAAGTGTATGATCACCAGTTCTGTTTGAGGTCAAAACCGTTCAAAGGAATTTCAGTTTATCTTAGAAACTGGCTGTTGTATAATTAATTGTTTTCTATTACTGGGTCGTCATTTGAGGAAGGAGTATAATATATATTTTTTGTCTTCGTTTTCTAGATATACTGCTGTTCTTGAACATCATCCCATTGAGAACCTCAGGGCAGTTCAGCCACCAGCATGTCCAAGCACAAACTTATTATACTAAGACATGGAGAGGGTCAGTGGAATAAAGAGAACCGGTTCTGTAGCTGGGTGGACCAAAAACTTAACAGCGACGGACTGGAGGAGGCTCGGAACTGTGGGAGGCAGCTCAAAGCTCTCAACTTCGAATTTGATCTTGTCTTCACATCCATCCTGAACAGGTCCATTCACACAGCCTGGCTGATCCTGGAAGAGCTGGGGCAGGAGTGGGTTCCTGTAGAGAGCTCTTGGCGTCTGAATGAGCGTCACTATGGAGCCTTGATTGGTCTCAACAGGGAGAAAATGGCTTTGAATCATGGTGAAGAGCAGGTAAGGCTCTGGAGGAGAAGCTACAACGTGACCCCACCTCCTATTGAGGAGTCTCACCCTTACTTCCACGAGATCTACACTGACCGGAGGTACAAAGTGTGCGATGTGCCCTTGGATCAACTGCCACGTTCAGAAAGCTTGAAGGATGTTCTGGAAAGACTTCTTCCCTACTGGAAGGAAAGGATTGCTCCAGAAATATTAAAGGGCAAATGTGTTCTGATATCCGCTCATGGGAATAGCAGTAGAGCCCTCCTGAAACATCTAGAAGGTACTGGTTTTCTGTTGTACTTGCTAAGTGTTGTGGTTGGGTCTTACTCTAGAAATGGAGCTTCAGTGTGCTACCCTCCAGCACTTCTCTCCTCCTGTCCCTTGTCATTTCATATTTAAGAAGCCATTGTTCTAAAAACCAAAACTCCTGTAGTTCTTGGTGCTCATTGTGGCTGAAGCAGAGGTTTTCAGACAGCACTGTGCCTCACTCGGACGGGGAGTTGAGTGTGACAGTGTGGTGGGGTTTTGGAGTTTCAGAGTCAGAGGGTACAGTTAGGACCTTGCATTTCAGAGCAGTTAGGGTTATAACTGCTGCTCTGGGGCTCTGCACTTGAGAGAGCTCTGCTCTGCAGAGTTGCTTGCCATCCGCTATAACGAGAAGAGGCGAAGGAAGCAATTTTACAAGTTTATTTGAGCCTTTTAAGAAAATTATCTAGAGTCCACTTTCGTCTATTTTCTTCCCGTGTCAAACCATTGTGGCTGTGTTTTCAGACATGGATTTCCTGAGCAATTCTTTAGTTCTAGCTTTCCAGACCAGGCTTAGTCACTGCTTATGAGAATGTTAGAGGGGAGGAAAATCAACAACACGCGCCTTATTTCCGTGTCTCTGCTAAAGTCTCGGAGGAGACCAGGAGCCTCCGTTTAGTTCAGTCACCTGATGTTGTGTTCTAAAACAAGGGCTCTGGGCTCACCGTTCTGGGGTGCTAGTGACTGAGGGTGACGGTCCTCCCTCCTGCTCTCCCTTCACTCACCCCCATGGCTTTTCCTTTCACTGTTGTGCCACCATGTCTCCCACAGAATCAGAAGGGCTGAAGCTCTGTGAGATAAGTGGAGATGTGGCTACCACAGATGGATGTGGTCTCTGCGAGATGCCACTGTGGACATTTTACCACAGGGCTAGCTTGCCCGAATTGTTATGGCGTTATCTAGACCGGATTGATTACTTGGTGATCACTCAGATACTGGCATCCATTAGTCATGCAGAGATCCAGAATCTACACATAGCTATTGCTGAATTTATCGGATAACATGGTGGTTATCCTTTTGTGTCTGTATATAACTCATTTATTCAAGTATATATAAGATTCTCTTCTCAATTGTTCAGGAAAATCAAAATATGATTAAATTACATGTAACTGTATCATTAAAGGACTATAATTATCTATCATCTAAAAGAGTTGAAGATCCTGTTAGAAAAACAAATTGAGATTTAAAATTTCAGTGTTTCTGACAGAATTTATATTCTACGCAACCCCTTTTACAGAGATGGAATTTATATCATGTTGTGGCCGGGCTCCCTTCCCCAAAGAAAATATCACTCTCCTTCAGAGAGTTCTTTTTTCCCTTACTTAGTTGAGTGAGCCCTAATAAAAAAGAAGTAGTTTCCTGCTGTTTAGTACCATTTACTCCTCACCTGTCTACAAGGCGACACCTCTTTAAGATGGTTCTGCAGCCCCAGATGCCTCCCCCACCTCCCACCCCCAGCAGCACATTGATGATTTACCATTTGTGAATGGTCTTTGTAAGGGAGCTAGGAAAAGGTCTTCCCATTGGTGGTGAAAGAGGCAATCACCGTGGTAGAGGTGAAGGAAAATGTCTGTTGGACGTGAAGTTGGACATTTAAAAAAAATGTATATATGCCAGGTGATTGGTAGTGTGTGACCTTGAACCCAGCACTTGGGAGGCAGAGGCAGGCCCACCTGGTCTACAGAGCAAGTTCCAGGACAACTAGGGGCTATACAGAGAAACCCTGTCTCAAAAACAAACAAAAACAAAAAAGCAAAATGACAACAAAAACAAAACAAAACAAAACAAAAAACTTGTCTACAGTTAAGGGAAATTTTAATGTATTAATAATTTATTGTAAAAAAATTATCCAATCAAGCAGTGCTTTTGAAAAGAATGTGCAGCTTCCTAAAGAGGTCCTGGGTAGTCCAGTCAAGACCCACCTGCCCCACGCCCACACTCGTACTTGTGTTAGTGCCCTAGTGTGGCTGTGAAATGCCCAGAACAGGACACCTAAAACAACAGAAATTCACTTTATGAGTCTAGAAGTCATAACTTGGAGGGGATAGGCAGGGCTATCCTTACGTCCAGCTTTGTAACTCTAGGTGCTGGTGTTGCTGGCAGTCTTTGCTATTTCCTGGGCTTGTAGACCACCATTCCTGACTTCTTCCCATGTAACCTGTGGGGTTAGGGGGTTCTTGACCAAATTTCTTCATGTTGTAGAGACATTCATACATACTACTGAGATGGGGTCTGCCCACGACCTCATTTTAACTTGATTATTTCTTTTAAAGACTTGATTTCCAACTAAGGCCACATTCTGAGGTCCTAGAGGTTGAAACTTCAATCTCAATCTCTCTCTCTCTCTCTCTCTCTCTCTCTCTCTCTCTCTCTCTCTCTCTCTCTCTCTCCCTCCCTCCCTCCCTCCCTCCCTCTTTTCCTCTCTCTCCTCCCCTCCCCCCGAACACAGTTCAATCAACACCCAAGAAAAATGAAAATTTCCACACTAAACACTACAACTTGTTTACAAACTTTAATAACAGCACATTCATAATAGCCAAAAAGTAGAACAACTCAAACGTCCAACTAATAAACGGACAAATTAAATATTTTCCAGCCACAGAGTAGCAGATTTCTCGGTGGTGAGCGGGAATGAAGTACTGGATGTGCTGGACTGGATGAATGCTGAGATCATTCCATTGTGGGAAAGTTAGACACAGAGGATTCTTTATAAAATGTCCGGAGTAGACGCTGGAGGGATGACTTGGCAGCTAAGAGTACTTCCTGCTCTTCCAGAGGACCCAAGCCATCTCCCAGCACCTCTGTAGCCTGTAATTCCAGTTCTAAGGGATCGAATACCTCTTTTGGCTTCTGAGGGCACTCACACATGTGTGTCATATACTCATGCAGCTACACATGCATACACATAAATAAAAATGGATCTTTTAAAAAATGTCCAGAATAGGACAGTGAAATTAAAAATAAAAAGGCTTATCATAATGAGGAAAGGTTATCATAATGCAGAATGGCTTAGGGCAAGCATATGAAAGCAATAAGAACACAGATACACATAGATAGTCTAAAATCAGAAAGGCAAAAACTGAGACAGCAAAGGGTTTCCAGGGCTTTCTCAGAAAGGAGCAAGCTTTAGGCCATAGACTGCTTCCTGAGCGTCAGCCATATTGGATTCAGTGAGCTTTCAGAGGCTAACACAATTGAAATAATCTTGTTATGACTTCAGTCCTTATCACTGTAGACAACTTTGGAAAGTGGTTTTATTTCGTGATTCTGATCTAAGGCCGTGGAGTCGGAATGGGAAGACAGACATAGGAAGTATGGGCTCATGAGAAAGGCAAAGGGTAGAAGACGTCTGCAGTCTGCAGGGCAAGAGAGGCAGGGATAAAGAAGCAAGAGCATAGACACAGCAGGTCTGGTGCAAGGGAGAGGGAGATTTCCCGTTAGGGGGAATGTGCAGAAGCCAGAAGATGCAGGAGGACATCAGTCCGTAACCCAGGCAACAGCGTAGTGGATACACTGATTGACCCTGGCCCCTCCTTTGAGATTTTTTACCCCCCTTTTTGGCCTGGAGTAGCCCCTATTGGAACCACTGTTCAAGTTCATGGAGTTCTTTGATGTCACCAGGCCTTCCGGTTGTGGACTGCCTAACGTGAAGAAATTATTTCATGTATGTGAAATAGGCTGGGTTTATTTCATAAAGTAGCTATCTGTTGTTTTGGGAGTACTCCAAAACACTTGTCCCCACTCGTTTTCGCCTCCATATTGAAATTAAAGTCCAAGTGTGCACAGCTTCTTAAGTGCCAGTCAGAAACCCACATGCACTTGAGTCCTGACATAGGACGCTGTAACAAGGTGAGGCTGCGGAAAGTCTGGGAACACTACAAGGTTTCTGAGTGCACAACAGTAACAGAATTAATTCCGATCCAAATGCATAATGACTGGGGTGTAGCGTTTACATGGCTTCACTGCAGCCTTGGCTCTGAGCACACGAGGAAGAATTAAGCATAGCTATCTTCCCAGGATCTGAAGAAGTGGTGCCCTGAAGGGTAGATAGTGTTTCTTCTCTATCATCTCTGTTAATTTGATGAGATTTCAGCATTTTAAAATTTGCTAAGACATTCACTCACCAACATAGGAAACCAGCCTTAGGCCTGTCGTCTTGTGTGTGGGATCTTCAGAAGGTTACGTTTATAGGATTTTGTGAGCTATTGGATAAAATATTTCATTGACTCTAGAAGCTACCTTTTCTCTAAAAAGTTGAATGACTCTCCTCTACTTGGGGGAGGGGGAGCATCTCAACTCTCTCATAGGAATCAAAGCTTACAATGTGTGTTTATTGTGAAAATTTACCTCCTTGCCATTTTACATTCTGTACTTGTCTGCCCAACAAGATCCATTTCCGATGTCTACTAATTATCTTGATGTATTTACTATCACCTTTTACTTCTAGAGTTACCACAGATCAGCCAATAAATTACGAAGTCACTTTACTGTATGGATGCTTCCTTTAGACTTAATGACTAACCAGAATTCGTTAGAATTCACAGTCTTTGAAAAGGATTCTTCTTGTAAACACAAAAGTTGCCAAACTTATATTGTTTTTTTTTTTTAAAAAAAAAGGTAAAAGCGTTTGTTGTAGATACATTTGATTCCAACCCATGCTTTCTATAGGAATAAATATGTATATAAAAATTTCTCCTATAAAATAGGGGCTTTTAAAGAACTGGGGAACTTTCCCTGTGTTGTCCTTAAACCTCTTGACAAGCAGAAAGCATGTTACCAATTATAAAGCTACTTTCTTAACTGTTTGAGAACTAACTCAGAGATGGGAATAATGGTGACTACAGTTAAGTAAGTAATTATAACATTGTTCTTTATTATACTCAGAGCATTCCCCCATCCTCTGGCCTACAGGGTCAGAATCTGTGTCCTTCAGCCATGCAAGCGTTGATTTTAGGATGCTGTTTTTTTCTTTTC